TATTAGGAATGTTCTTTGATAAAGGAATCCCCCAAAAAGGGAAAATATACAGCTTCATAGCACAAACAACTAACCTACATCTGAAACATGGCCAAGTAAAGAATTAGATGAGAGAAGTTAAGAGAATGTTGATAAATATTAGAGATAGCAAAAAAGAATAAGCTACGAAAATTACGAAATACAAATATATTATGAAATATAATGGTAGTACCTATTAAACAAAGGTCATGGTGAACAGACTTAGGTAGTATGGACATACGATGAAATGACCTAAAAACTACATAGGATACAAGAATAAGAGTCTGAAAGTAATGGGTAAACGAAAGTGAATAAGACTAAAACTCCAATGGGCCCACAAAGTTAAATTCAATATCATAAAGTTTAAATTGAATAAAATGGATTGTATGAAAAATAAAATGGAAAGAAATATTGAAGGAGCTTGCCACCTGAAAAGGTTAAAAAGAAGAAAAGAATTATTTTCAAATGATATTTTTTTAACTTAAATATAATATTTGTTGTAAATTGTAATATTATAATTAAAATGCTAATATATTATTTTTTTGTCTTTTATATACCTCACAATAAAGATTAGTATATCATTGCACAAATAATATGCCTTTATTCTTAAGTAAAAATTTTATAAAATGTTTTTTTTCTGGGAGATTTTCAGGTGGGAAGGGGGGGGGGGGGTCTGGAGATTTTTCCCAGGGTTTTTTAGGGAGAGTTTTCCTGGGGGTTTTGGGCGATTCCTCAAGTATTTATTGTATAATATACATTATTATAAAAATATTAAACAAGAGAAACAGTTCTAAATGAACATAAGGTAATTATATTAAAATTACAAATGTAACACAGCCAAAATGGGCAATTATATATACTGAAGAACAGATAATATTAATAAAATTCGATTATTAAGTATATTTTAATAAATTTAATAATTTTATAAAAACAAAATTGGGAGGGAGATTTTTAATCATTTAGGGCAATTGAATTAATAAACCCAAAGTTTGTCTAGATATTGATATCTTTTGTCTTAAATAGCAACCTTTGCGAGGCTCTACCAAATTTTTCTAATTTGATGACCGTCTTTGAAATTCTTCGCCAAGTTACCCTATGTTTTTAGGGTTGAACTTACTTGGTATGAAAATATAAATTATGAGTCAGCTGAATATTCAGCAATTTTTAAATTCTGGGTTTATTGTATCTTTTTCGATATTGGAAAGGAATTGGTGTCTATGCATGAAATCCCATATTATGTTTCCTTGTATCTATGGAATTCGTGTAGGGAATAGATTAATAGTTTCTAATGAAGTGATAAATTCTGCCAAACTCAATGCGAACGCTATTAATTATCGTATTTAACACATCTCGTTTGCACGAGGATTGCGATTACAATGTAAAGGATGCAATGCCAAACTGTCATCGCCAGTTCGGAATTTTCTGAATCTATATGATAACGTTCGTGTACCAGATACTTAATAAGTTCAATGAATGAGGATCTATGGTCAACGGTGTAAAACTCGAAATAAGGTAATCAACGGATTTTTTCACAAGTAAATGTCTTGTAGGATTCTGAAATTTTGCTGTATTTGCAACAGACTTGTTCCATTCCGTTCTGGCCATACTTGAGAAAGGATCGAGCTATAGGTGTTGGTTAATTCTGCACTTGTAGGTTTGTGTTAAAAGCACAGATTGAGATAGATAGTAAAGCTTAAACCGAGACCATCATGTTTGGAAGGCAGCGTGGCTTGATGCCGAACAATGTCTGTGAACTAAATGTTTATATAATCACTAAGAATATTCCAGCTTTTGCACTAGATGCGATTTCTCCAAATATATTGGGCTTGTTTAAATTTTGGAAAATATTATCCATATTGTCAAAGAAATTTGTTATACACTTCTCACCAATAGAATAATTTAAATGGGGTAAATTTTTTAGCTTTGTATGGTTGAACTTAGTTATGTCAAACTACTCATTTTCGCCATTTTACCCTGGGTACAGGGTAAAGTGGATAAGCACTGGGGTAAAGTGGTTAAAATTATTTGACATATATTTATCGTTTATTTAACAAAAATTACAAATTTAAGATATATTTATGATTTTTATTTACAAACTAATCAATACAATAAGGACATGTAAAGTAATTATCATATCAAGGCACATTGTACATTTTAACCAATCATCGCCTTCGCCACTATTTTTATAGTTTTTATTGCAATAACACATAAACAATTTCATATCTTTTTTCTTCTCTGAAGAAATAATTTCAATATTGATTTGGTAACTTTATTAGTAATGCTCAATTGAAATATATAATATATTTATTAATTAATACTCAATTCAAATAAAACAATATAATTTAATTACTTGTTTAGGCGTTAATCCCATAAATGACCTACTTGCTTCTAATATGGTAATCACAAAATCTAGATTTTTCTTCATTTGTAAATATTTGTTTATGATCTGAACTTTTAATACCAATTTTATATCTTCTTCTCAATGTTGTATAAGGTATTTTATATCTTTTAGCAGACAAATTCAATGAAGTGTTACTGTTATTTTATATTTTATGACTTCATCTATTATACTTACATCTCTGAATATGGTTTTTTTTTCTTTTATAATTTCTCATTATTTGATTGATACAAAAAAAATTATAATAAATGAATGAATGAAAAATTTAATGTGAATAATTATATATTTTAACCGTTTTACCCATAACAGCTTTACCCCAAGGTGACTTATATTATAAATATCGTTATTGCGTGACTTTTAATATAGCTATAAATGTCAAATAAATTTTATTTTATAGTTAATACATTAAGGAACATGTGTGCCCCAAATTTTAAATCCTGAGGATATGTATATTTTAAAAGCAAAATATACTAGAGAATGATTTTTATACTTTTTGGGTAAAAAACAGTTTTTTGACAAAATATAAAAAACCAGGTAAGTTTTTTAATAGGTAAGAAATTAGATATAAAAATACATCTTCACACCAAATTTAAAATCTTTGTGCTCAAGGGTTAAAAAGTTATTCGCGTTAACATTGTTACCCCGTCAATCGCTTTACCCCGGTCTCCCCTACCATAAATCCAGAAACATTTTTGATGTTGTTTATCAGCTCATGTATTCCCACCCAAATATGGAACCCTGCTAAATGTCTTCACTAGTGGATTATATATGTCGACCAAATATTAAATGGGATAGTTTTTTTTTTATAAGAGGAAAGAATATAGTTGGTAAAGATTGGTAAATACTTTATCAATTGTTAAATGAATACATTTATATTATATGTATTGCTGAAATCAATTTTAACTAAATATTGAGCTATCGTAACATTTTGAACAAAAATATATATAATTATAAAACAGTTATAAATCGAAAAGTCTCGGTTCTCTCCTTTCCAAATTTTATATTAACCGTTCAGTTCCGGTTCGAAAAATTATAACAATTTATTTCGACTTTGCGGTTCGGTTCGACACCATGGCTTCAACTCTATTCTTTTGCCTACTTCTCATTTCCTAAGCTTAATTTTGATTTTTTTTAACAATATTTCACGGCCATAGTTCGTTAACTCTTAGTAGTTAGCATAAGAGATCAGAAAAAATTATCTTAAATTTTATTGCTTAATAGATTCTAGATTTACATTCTTTCTTGGGGTTTCTAACTCCATTCTTTCATCCATTTCTCATCTACTAAGATTAATTGCTATAACATGATATGATATAATTTTAATAAATAATTGAGTTATAAATTGTGTTAAAATAAAAATAATCTAATAGATTTTAAAAATTTGATAACAGATTATTTGGGATTTTTATATTATGTCGTATTGGGGTATGGAATCCGTGGGGATTCGGAATCTCTCGACTTTAAATCCTCTACCGAAGGAGATTTAAAAAATTTTTAAATCCTATTTAACTGGAAACAGACATTTTAGCATGTCTAGATTATTTACTCTATAAATTTCAGTCAATTTCCGCAGTAGTCATTTTAGTTTTTTAATCTATATGAAAAATTAATATAAATTAGGAATGAAAAAATTGTTTGAAATTTAGAGTTTGGCTACTCTATACATGCTGAAATAAAATTCCTGTGAAATCAGATTTTTAAAATTTTAAAATCGCCCTTAGTAAATGATTTAAAATCGAGTTTCTGAATCCTCATGGATTCCATATCCCAATACGACATATACATACAAATTATCAATAAAAAGTGTTTCGCTTCATTTGGATATGAGTAAACCCGGCATCGGGTTGTCTCATAGGCGTAGTTGCTCATCAGAAGTTTCCTAGGAGAGATTTATGATGACTTTGCCCCATATGCTTTTGTTAATTTTTGGTTCAAAGCTTTCCCCTGCCTTCATCAAGTCAGGAGCGTAGTCAGGAATTTTTTAAGGGACTTTTATATATTATAATGATTATTTATGGAATATTAGAAAAGAACTGATCATCATACATTTATTATAACTAATCATATTTTAAAAAATGGCACTTAATAGAATATCGAAAAATTCAAAATTTTTAAGAGCAAATATAATAATGTTAAAAAATATTATAATAAGATATATTTTTTATTCTCAAGAGTGGTTTATTTATTTATTACTATACTAAGTAGGCTTCTGGACTTGGAAATAGAGTAGGAAATGTCTATCTTATATGGAAGAAGAAATTTTTATGATTTATTCAAGCTTGTAGAAACAAGTTAGTCTAGTGATTCTATAAAAAATAGTTACATCCAGGAACTTCTACACCTTCCTTAGTCAATAACGACGTTAACGCTTAGAAATTTCACCCCCTGGGCCTTCTCACTCTAAAATTTACTTCCCTTTAACATTTTACCTTCCCTCCTCCTACCAAATTAAAATTAGCAAGAAGAAGAAAAAATGAACGATAACGTCTTTATAGATACCTAACCCCCTCCAATAACTTTAATGACGATTTTGCGTTATAATCCTACCAGTTATAAATTTATACCCTTATAAAATGTAACTTACAACATTCATTGTAACTTCTGGATCTAATTTTTGAATTTCTAGGATATGATGAGAATGATTTTTAGGAATACTTATATTCGATATTAAGATTACTTGACAATGACATGGTTATGGAATATAGTATTTGAGTTAAAATAATCATGATTGTTGTTAAATTCATTTCAAAAATATGATGGTGAGAAATTTATTATAATTTTAACAAATAAAATAACATGTGTTTGTATTGTTTCAAATGAGTTATTTACATTAAATATTTTTGTATTTAGAGATATTTATTTATTAATCATTACTATCCTTCATTTTAGTGTTGTTAAATAGTCGAGTTTTTTCGACTTTGAACTCGAGCCGGAGTCGTAAAATACGGCTTAGACTCGAGCGGCTCACCGTTTGAGCCGAATCCTGAGCCGACTCCCGAGCCGATATCTGAGCCGACCCTCGAGCCGATTTTATATTTAAAAAAATATTATATATAAAAAAAAGAAATCAACAAATTATTATTTTATATATATAATCACCAGAGTTGTTAAAAGAGACTTTTAAATGGATCTAGATACAGATACTTCAAAAAATTAATCTTTGGACCTTTAATATTCGGTTACATTTAAATTCGGTGGCAAATATTTTTTCTTAATCCTAGGAGGATCACATATACATGTGATTTTATTTATAGAAAGTAGACGCTAAATAACATATATCGTTTATTTTGAGTACTTATAAAAATTAATTTCCATATTTAAATAAAAATTAATTTAAATTCAATCATTTAAAGAAATGCATCGAATTCCATCTTCAATGAACTTTGTGGTGTAAGATAAAAATTTGAAAAATTGTATCCAGGGACCCGGAGTGAACCGTAACGAACCGTTAAACCATTATAAACCGTTATAATTATCTGAACCATAACCGAACCGATATAATTATTTTTTGAAGGAGTAAAAAGAACCTTTATAAAAAAATGTTAAACCGGTTCAGTTTTTATATTTTAGAAATGGAGATTATTTGAATATCCAGATTTATATAAACTTGCTCTTATAGTACTGGCGTTTCCCGCAACACAAGTTTCTGTAGAAAGAGCCTTTTCGGGGCTAAAATTTATGTTATCGTCACAACGAACAAAAAGTAGATCCATTTATATTAGAAAATATATAACTTATACGTTCAAATAATATATTTAAAAATGAGTTATTTTGAATCATATATATTTTTTTTATATATAATTCATAGATGCTTATAATAAATAAATTAGATGATGGTGTTGTTGCTTCAATAAAAAAAAATTTCTAACCGTTATGAACCTTTATAAATAGCTGAACCGAACCTTTACAAATTTTTTCTTAAAAACCGTAACCAAAACGTAACCATTATAATTTTTTACATACTGAACCGTAACCAAACTGAATCGTTATAAATAACGGTTCGGATCCCTGGTGAAATAACTCCTCAAATGGGGGGGGGGTCAAGTCCTATAAAAGTTTTGGAGCCCCTTTACCCCCTTTTAATTGGATTAATTTTTTTCTTCTAATTTTAGATGAATTTTTGCTACTATACCAATTTTAATAAATTTGAAAATCTAGCAGCGTCATTGATATTCAGAAACCGGAATTGCTAAAAGTCGATTTTATATTCATGTTTTATGTTATCCATAAATTTGTGGAAAAGTCATACATATTAATGAATAATTTCTTAGAGAATCGAGCTATGTTGGCACACTTCTTTAAACATTTATAAATTTACATATTAGGTTTCTTATAATTTCTATAAAGCGACCACATTTGTAAGTCACGAATTGAATTGTGGCAAATAGGTGGTAAATTTCAAGTTTTTAAAAGTTTTTTAAAAAATTATCAACAAGTACAATAATTATGAATGTTTTTTTTCACATTACGAAAATGTGTTACAACAAAACAAATCATATTATGGATGGGTTTTTTTTAATTTAATCTTCAACATGTTTGATTAGTAACTTAACTTATTAATTTTTATATTTTTTAGATAACTTATTATTTACTTTTTATATTATTTTTTGTTTTTGTACATCTTATTACATTACATTTTATATTATTATTTATTATTTTTCACTTGATTTATTTTAACATCTATTGTTATTTGATTTGAACATATTGTTTGATATCTCATGTTTTTTTTAACATTTCATTTATGTAAAAATATTCAAAAGAGAAATTTTATAATATTTTGAATGATTAGTGTTAGCTTAAGGAAACCATAAGCACAATTATGTGCCATAAAGAATGGATATTGCTAAGAACATTTTTTTAGATATCAGTTCAAAATTGTAAGGATATTTTTATCATGTAAAGGAATATATAAATCCTTGCTTAGCCATGAGGCCCATTATTTATTAAAAACAATACAATTGAAGCACACAAATATTTTAAGAAAATAAATTTATTCGCTAACTTTTAATGAATAAATAAGTTTAATCTTAAAAATTTTTTTTAAGATAAATATTCATTTTAAAAGAGAATTTGCTCAAAGAACGATAAAATAAGAGTTTCTATTCGAGAACAGCGAACTCTGTATATATAAGTATGAAAAAATTGTATCTGTAAGTCGGCTCATTGAGCCGCTAGAGACAGCCGTTTTTTACGACTAATAACTCGAGTCGCGGCTTAGCCGTTTAACAGCACTACTTCATTTATTCTCTTAACTCTTAGGAAGAATCAGAAATGTTTAGGTATGGAAACATAAAATTATTTTTTTCTTCTGATATTATAATTTGAAGCATAAGGCTCGTATCCAGAATTTACTTTAAATATTGAAGCAATTTTTGTTAAACGTTAATAATTTATTAGAACTTCATCTTACAAAATTTATTAGAATTGATTATATTTAAAGATCGAACATAAATAATAAAGTGGTTGATCACCAATTCAGAGTGTTGTAATAAATATTCGATAAATTTATATTTAAAGATTTCGAACACAAATAATAAAATGGTTGATCACAGTGTTGTGATAAATAATAGATTAATTTGAATATTTATATTTATGATTATTATAATTTATATTTAGGGAGTTCATAAAATGTAGACCTAATATATTATTCAAAATTATCATTCATAGACTATTATGTAAAATAATGTGTTAGAATTATTAATTTTTTAAAGGAATTTTATAGTTTTTTTTAATTCTTTTTAACTATTTGATTAAATATGGTTGATAACTTAAGTAAATTTATAGTATCTTTAAATATTTTTATTATTATATTAATTTAAAAAAATAAACAAATACAAAATATTGGATAACTTCATTTTTACTCCAATCGCCATTTTCACCAGTAGATATTTTTCTTCTAAGACTTTCGATTTTTAAGGGCCCATAAAATATTTATTCACACAGGTGGCCAAAGAATTCCATTTCTTAAGACAAAAAACGTGTTGCCCCAAAATTCTTAAAATGTTAATATAATATAGAAAATATTTCGTCAAAATCACGAAAATGTAAAAAAAAATATAGAAAATATTTGGCCAAAATCACGAAAATGTAAAATATTTGGACAAAAACACGAAAATGAAAAAAATCACGAAAATGTAAAAAAAATAAGAAAATATATGGCCAAAATCACGAAAAAAAATAAATATTGTTGATAACTTTTAGTTTCTGAGCAGATATAATTAGATTGAGCATCTTTAATTAATAAATATATATATATACTTACACATTTAGAATCCTCATTTAAATTTTAAATTTGCAATTTAATGATATAATATATATCAATATATATTATTTACTTTAAAAAAAATTACTTTTTTAATTAACATAAATATTTTTGTATACATTAAAAATATAAAAATTTATATATATTCGGAATCACCATCAAATTTGTAGTATCGATATATAATATAGTGATCTGCATAGAGCCTAATCGAATAAAAATTAATTGTTCACCCGGTCTGGCCCTAATTTATTTAAATATAGAAAAATTTAGTGCAGTAAACATTTTACTTGTTCGCGTTCAACGTTTATTGACAAAAATCGAACGCATTCACGTTCGTTCAAATTTTATGATAAATTTTTTTTTATATTTAATTTAATATAAATAAATGTCTTATAAATTTTAACACAATATATTAACCATGTTAAAAAATAATATAGTTTTATTTGGAAATATAATTATAACTGCAATATAATATAGTGAATAAAAAGATAATTTTATTTATAAAATTCTTCTTATTAATTCTGAATAACAATTGTTCTTCAAAATTTTCGTCTGATGGAACCTTGGCAGTTAATATGGCATTAGCTGTACTAAAAACGCGCTCTACAGGCCACACTCTGACAGCGTTTTGCATAGATTTTCATGATTTAACATTATCAATAGCTCTACCAAAATGCACGAATGTGAAGTAGGAGGGTATTTTGTATTTATAACATTTTTGCATAATTATTTTCAGGGCTAATATTGGCTCTAGTATGTTTTTATTTGGTCTGTACGACATATGTATTGGGCAAAAGATGAAGTGTAGATGATATGATTTTATTTTTTAAGAGGACCATAAAAATCTTTGAGACACAGGATGTGAGAGCTACGGCTCGGTAATAAGTAAATTATTGTAGGTCATTGATTTTAGGGAATACATAAGAAGGATTTGTTCCATTCCACTGGAGTATTTCCGTTCTCCCATATTTTATTGAAGAGGGCTAATAGGTAGGAAGATATTGTCATAGGTGTTATTTTAGGAATTCAGCTGTGATATTATCCAGCCCCGGAGATTTTTTTTCCGTAGTTTTACTACATTTTATATTTTATTTATGGAGAAACCAGACTGGGTTGTGACAAGGTTTGTATTATGTTTGTTGGTAGAATTGTTTTCCTTGAGTCGAGGACCATCATGTAATGATCAAGTCATAATGCTATTATTTCGTCCTGGTCAATGATCACTTTTCCTGTTTCCTAAAACTATAAGGTTTACAGAAATATTTTAATTTTTCATAGGCATCATCAATTTTCTTTCATATCTTTATGGACATCAAAAGCTTTTTTTACTATGTATACTCCTCTATCACTCACCAGTAATCTCTATATGGTTTTCCATAAGTCGTTATTCTAGCCATTCTTCATTTTTAATTTATTTTTTTCTAATGTCATACTAGACACCCATTCTTTCCTTGAAAAAAGATTTACATTTGGCAAACCATCATATGATTCTGCAAGATCATT